CTGCGATCATCAGCTCCGTCTACTGAGCAGTACGAGCTGTAACCTCTTGTTGCAGAGCTAGAACTGAGGGGGAGAGGAGGTGAAGGATCAGAATCTGAACGTGGGAGAGCAGACCAACAGATGGTCTGAATCATCCTTATCAAACTGAAGGATGGTTTGAGTGCAAACACAAAGTGCAGCCAGAAGAAAAGGTCTGCTGAAACTTAAATCTTAAGGAGGCTAACTAGGTAAATTATAATCCGAAAGCTTTAGCGGTTTACTTTGAGTGTATTTGAAGGCTAATAGTTTTTATTTTAGCAGTTTCCCCTCAAACAAATTAAAGTACTACAGTACGCATGAGCCTATAACTTGGTAAGTTTTAATTCTGGAACATCTAAACTCAGCCCAAGACCAAACCCTCCAGAAATTCCACTGTCCGTGTTCCCCATTTTACTACACTCTGTGGAAAAAGAACAAACTGCTAAATGTGTTTTATTAAAATACTGTATGATCATAGAATACTAAACAAGATGTATAACAGGATATTTTCCATTGGGAAGAAACTATTAAAGTACTGCACACTAATATTTGCATTGAATTGCATTGCAGTCAGAAAGACCATACAAAAAAAAAAGCCATTCAAACTATAAGGTTATAAAATACAAAAATGTTAAAGTATTTTCCTGTTAAAAGGAATTCTGCTTTGTCATTGATGAGTGACTCCACTCGGTTCTCCTCGGTTCTTCTCAGGTGGAGGTGATTTGCCTCCACAGTGGAGGCTGACCTGTTTCCTCGCTCTGTGGGTGAGAGTGGGCTCTCTACTCTCACCCACTGTGCCTGCTCAGGATATTACGGTACGTCACCTTCTGACGTTCTTTAATTACTAATGCATCAAATCTGAAAGTTTTTAATGGGACTCATCAATTCAGTTTATTTATAAAGCGCCAAGTCACAACAGAAATCGTCTCAGGACACTGAACGGAAACATTCATATATATATAAATAATAATTTAACATTATTTATCCGAGGAGCAGACTGCTTTGAATTTAACTTCATCACAGAACTCTCATCTTGAGCAAACACAAAAGCAACAGTGGAAAGGAAAAACTCCCTCGTGAGGAAGAAACCTTTAGCAGAACCAGGCTCTTCTGCTTCAAGCGGCTGGGTTTGGTAGGAACAGATACACAATGGCAGGTCAAGAATCACACGTTAAGATAGAAATAGTATCAAACTAGAAAGTTCCTGGAGAAACTTTGATGGGGACTGCCTATTTATTATTAAATTATTATTAATAATAAATAGTATTAATTAATTATTAATGTGTCATTCATGTATTAATTATTATAAACTATTAATATATTCAATAATAATATTTATAATAAGTGATATTAAATATAAATTATTAATATTAATAATGCTATTATTTGTAATTATTAAAATGAATCATTAATAATTTATCTTAATTATTTTTACTAATAAATAATAATAATAGGTGATAATAGGTGCCTTCCATGGATGTTGAACCAAAATGGCTCCCGACGTTACTCAGTTTCTTTGAAAAGTTTTCTCCTATTCATTTCCTATGGGCAATTTGTCATTTTCATTAGTAAAATATGTCGCCATGGTAACGCCAATTGCCAATAAAATAGCACACATCTCGGAGCCGGGCCGGTCGTTTGGATATAACTTTTGTGGGGGTCCACTTTGCGATTTGGGCCGCATTAAAGTTAAAAAAGATACGCTTTTCAGGTGCAGAATAATAAGTGGGCCGTCACCAACTAGTTCCTGGAGTTGGTGAAATATTGCGCCTTTGTTCGCAAATTACTTTGCCATGGTAACTTGAAATGCCAATAAAAGTAATAGCACACATCACGGGGCCGAGCCGGTCGTTTTGATATAACTTTTGCGGGGGTAGACGCTGTGGTTCGGGCCGCGTTAACGGAGATAGAAATGTAGACTCACTTCCGAGGTGTAGGATAATAGGTGCCTGCCATGCACGGCAGTCCCCAATGAAAACTATTCAATTTTAACAATTCATTTAAGGAAATGAGGTCAATTTGTCCTCTAATTGCCTAAGCCTATAGCAGCGTAACAAGCCAAATCTAGCTATAGGATTTATGAAAAGGAAAGTCTTAAGCCCAGTCTGTAAACTGGACAAAGTGTCAGCCTCACGGACAGAAACTGGAAGTTGGTTCCACAAGAGAGGAGCCTGAGAACTGAAAGATCTTCCTCCCATTCCGCTCTTGGAAACTAAAGGAACTGCGAGTAAGCCTGCAGTCTAAGAGCAAAGTGCTCTGTTAGGAAAATACGGAACAGTAAGACCTCGAATATAAGATGGAGCTAGGTTGTTGAGGGCTTTGTAGGTTAGAAGTAAGATTTTGAATTAAATTCTGGATTTGACAGAGAGCCAGTGGAGAGAAGCTAAAACTGGAGCGATATGATCTCTCCTACTAACTCCAGTTAA